AAAGGAGACCGAAACCGGAGCGGCCGTGAGGGAGGCCGTGGTGGCCTGGGATCCCGAGCGCCTTCCTTTCCCTCCGTGTTGGACCCTTTCCCCGGGAGCCTTGGGCGCTTGAGACTCCCTTGAGCCCTTAATCCCTCTATTACCCTCCACCACCACCACCACCACCCCCGCCGCCATCGCCCTGCAAAGGAGCTCGTCGTCTTCTTGGCTTATCGATCGACGTTTCACCACCTCGGACTACGTCCCGTCCTCCTGTGCACGGACTACACCTCCCGTCTTCCCTAGCCAAGAGAGGGAGAAGAGAAGGAGCGAACCTTCCGTCCGGGCACGAGAAGGGAGGCGTGCTCGGCGCTTCCCCTCCCCCCCCCAATTTCCCTTCCTCTGAAGAACTTTAGCCTCGTCCTGGTGGCCAGGAAATCTCCGCACGTTTTTTTCCAGATAATTCCCTCTGCCCTGTGCTTTGTGGTTGTTTTGGAGTAAAGGGGTATTCATTTGCACGTGTCTTAACTAAGATTTTGTGTGTGTGTGTGTGTGTATATATATACAGTATATACACATATAAACATATATACATATACATGTACATATAATACACACACACACACACACGTTTTCTGCCCCGCCCCCCTGTACATATAATACACACACAGAGACACACACACGTTTTCTGCCCCGCCCCCCTAGACAGCGTCTACTTGGGGCGGCTTAGAAGTATCGTAAACTATCACAAAAACATCATGAACATTAAACAACTGAAGCAATAATATACAGTAGTGTATTCAAGATGGCATCATGAATATTAAACAACTGAATCAATAATATACAGTAGTGTATTCAAGATGGGGAGTAATAGAAAACAAGAAGATAGAATTCAAGAATTGACAGAAGGGAAGGCCTGCCTAAAGAGCCAAGTCTTTAAATGGCTCTTAAAAACACCCAATATATAGGTTGATAAATGTGTTTGTGTGGTTCTTTAACATTGTAAGCCACCATGAGTTATTAAACAACTGAATCAATAATATACAGTAGTGTATTCAAGATGGGGAGTAATAGAAAACAAGAAGATAGAATTCAAGAATTGACAGAAGGGAAGGCCTGCCTAAAGAGCCAAGTCTTTAAATGGCTCTTAAAAACACCCAATATATAGGTTGATAAATGTGTTTGTGTGGTTCTTTAACATTGTAAGCCACCATGAGTCCTCACCAGCAGGAAAATGGGGTGTAATTGTTTCAGTAAATATTAAATTATCATATATATCGTGCTAATTAGAAACAGATTGTG